AATAACAAATATAAACCATATACCGCCGACGAGTGTAAAAATACTTGTGCACCCAAATCGGGCCATCTTATCTTTGGTATATACTCTTCTTCAACTGGTGTGGTATCTTTGGTTTCTGGTTTTATTTCTTTGTAGACAGCATTCTCTTCATCGTAACCCAATGAGCCGTCCTTATCTGTGATGGCCACCGATGCTGTCTTGCGATGCGTAATAATACTGCCATTCGATTTTTCATTACCATTACAATCTAATTGTGTGGGTGTTGTTGTATTTGGTTTAAGGTTACATGTTGTTGTTGCATTTGGACATTGACTAGATTCCGAACATGTTGCACCATTAGAGGTATCTGTTGTTGTTGTAGTAGGCGTTGAAAGGCACATTTTGTATTATTTTATTATTTGTGATGGTGATGACGATTGTGAGATCTATGCGGAACTATATAATGATAGCCAGCTTTTAGTAGTATCCTATAAGAAAACAAATAATAAATTGAATGACATTTAATATTAATATATAATTTTTTTATAAAAATATAGTTATGCTTTATCATAAAATAATATTATTTTATAGAAAGAAGTGAAGCCAATTTAGTAAAAACTGTAGCATATTTTTCTTTAATTAATTTCATTTTAATTATAACGCTTATTAAGTGAATGGGAAAAAATTTATAGTTTTTATTTTTTATAGTTGCAGTCATATATAGAAATAATTCTTTCTTGCAGGTGTTTTCTTATCATATTTTTTTGGTATTAATGTTGTATTATCTATTGACAGAAAGCTAACTAGTCCAATAAATCAGCTTATCATTAAATAACATAGATAATGACGGAGAGTGCAGTTGAACCTAAATTATGTATAATAGGGTGGTGTGGCATGGTAACAACCTACATCAAAAATTAATATATTCGATTATATCGAAAGGCAAATCTCAAACCAAATATTTAATTATGTGTAATTGCATTCAATAACCACAATCACAAACCCTCAGCCTACATCGGTTGTATATGTTTGATATAATCTGACTCAACTTTCTGAAATTAGTCAATCACGAATGGAGGTTGGTGTTTCGGACATCGCCCCTACGAATTCGGTCGGCAATTACGCTGTCCTTGCATGATACTTATACTCCTTGGAATATTTAAATGTATTAGTAGAAATCGACTACACCAACAAGCTCATACTACCTTATACACAATTAACTTTTTGATAGTCTCTAGATGTCGTCCGAATTCTCCCGCTCCCTTGACGAACTCGAACTCGATTCTGAGGATCTATATCCCGAGCCTGGGGAATGTTTCACGATATTTGCAACATTTAGGCCATAAGGCGATACACACAAAAGTCTTGGATCATTCGAACTGCTTATTATTGACCAACAATTATCAAAACAGTCATTCCAATTAGTTGATCAGCTCGCATTCCTTGTATAAAAGTTGCTATGTTCGGCTTATAATTTTGGCTCTATGGAGCGACATTAAAACAAACAAAAATAAAGTTTTAAGTTATCTTCTAAATATAATTAGACCACTACCGACGAATATAGGCGTCGTCATTGACTATAATCGGAACCTTATTTAAAATGGCATTGCGATCCACGCCCTCTAGTGTGTTAATGCTAATACTAACAATATTAGAATAGGTAAGCCGTGTAAATATTTACGTTTAACTCTCACACATTCGAGTACAATCAATAATATAATAGGTATCCATTTAAAGGCCAATCAGTCATCTTGGATGTACTGTCTATTTCTCCAATCTATGTCTTTCAGGAGTAAATATATACTCCATAGAATGCACATTTTGCCATTTTTACACAAAAGTCAGGATCTATTTAATCCGCTAAATATTGACCGATTATCATGAATAGAGCCATGTTCCTTGATCAGATTCTTTTTTTTACATGTAAAATTTCGTGATGTACGGGTCACACCGAACCTACATTCGTGACGATTGGTACATAGCATACAAATTATAATGGGCAGACGGACGGACGCACATGTCTAGATCGACTTAGCTAGTCAAAATATGACGATCGGTTCGTGACGATTGGTACATAGCATACAAATAATAATGGGCAGACGGACGGACGCACAAGTCTAGATCGACTTAGCTAGTCAAAATATGACGATCGGTTCGTGACGATTGGTACATAGCATACAAATTATAATGGGCAGACGGACGGACGCACATGTCTAGATCGACTTAGCTAGTCAAAATATGACGATCGGTATACTAAAAAGTTGCTCTAGAACCAATGTTTCGGGATGTTTATAAAAATGATATGCCAAAATATGACCATAGAAGATATTTCGTGCCAATCAGTAACCTGGAGTGCCAATTTACAGTCACTTCGGTGGGAAACATGGGTACTCGACCTTTTTTATAAGCTATGTCTGTTATAAGTTATTTACTCATCATGAAGTCGAAATGCAACCCCTTCAGTCTGGAAATGCGCTCAACAGTGGCCTTTATATGGGAGCTATGTCAGCTATGGCCTTTGTTGGATATGTTCAAATAAGTCTACCTACCCATCAATAAGTCAGAATGGGACAATTAAAGTAACTTGTCTCCTAGGACAATCTAAATATCTAAATGGGACTGTACCTTTATTATTGGTATACGTCAAAATATGGACCTATATGGGAAATTTTTTCGCTGTTGGAATGTCTTCACAGGGCCATCAAAAATCCCTAAAATAGGAAAGGACCGTTATGTGTAGTCTTTGTCAGCATTTATGTGTTTCCCCAGCAAAAATTCCGAATATCAAACTTAAAATCTCTTCAGTTAGAAAATGCACCAAAAATTGTAAAATACCTAAAATGGGACATCACCATTTAATGGAGGATATATTAAAATTATATTGAAAATCGTTTGTGACCTTCACCTTTAAATATGGACCCAAATTGAAAGTGTTTTCGAAGATATATTCTAAAACCCAGAATTACAGCAATTTCGATTAGACATGTTTGCTAGGACCAGAAAAATAGCCAAAATTGGTGCGGACTTATTATAAGTAGGCTATATCAAAATATGGGCATATATCGAAAATTTTCACTAGAGATGCCAATGTCAAATTACAGCCTCATCGCTTTGCTTGTTTCCGCGATACTGGTAGCGTTGCCCGACGTCAAGGAAGTGGACGGAAGAAAACATTAAAATCAGCAGAAATGGTTCGAAATAGAAAGAAGCGACTTGATAACCAGTGAGCGGAGCAGTATAATCGGACGGGACCGACCATATGATACCCTACACAACTTCCACGATAACTAACTTTGTGTGGCTCTACATTCTAGCTTGGGAAATATTTTGTGATATTTGCACCATCTTGTCCGGCTAGAGATCATATTACTAATATTCAGTACAGTAATTCTAATCACCTGTCCAGATTCCCTCACAGTGGATTGCGTTGTAATGTTCGGCTTATAATTGTGGCCTATAGATCGACTCAAAAAACACAAAAAAATAAGTTTTCAGTCCATTTCATCCCAAAATTATTACCTGATCATCACCGAAAATTATAGACGTTGCCCTTGACCATAACTGGAACCTCATGGAACATATCAAGGCAATCAGGGTTATATGTCCGCCCTCCAGTGTTATAATGGTTTACTAAATAATATCCGAATACGTAAGCACCTGCAAAAATGTTCGTGTAACTCCCACATCCTAGTACATACGATAATATAATTGGTATCAATTTAAAGGCCAACCTCTCCTCTTGGATATATTATCAACTTCTCGGGTCTATGTCCATCAGGAGTAAATATATACGCCATATAATACAAATTTTGTCATTTCTCACACAAAAGTCAGGGTCCATTTGACGCGCTAAATATTGACCGATCTTTATCAAAACAGGCATGCTTATTCATTGGTCCGATCCCCTTCTCTATGTAAAATTTCGATGTTCGAGCCTCTGGAGCGACCAGAAAACGGACAAAAATAAAGTATTTGGTCCATTTCATCCCCTAAATATTAACCGATCTTTACCAAAAACAATAGGGGTCTTCATTGGGCAGAACCCATCCTATATGCAACATTTCGTGAAGATTGGTCCATAACTGTGGCCTGAATCGTGTTTACAAATTATAATGGAATGCGGATGGACGGTCGGACACACATGTCTATATCGACTCAGCTAGTCGAGATATGACGATCGGTATACTTGAAGGAGGGTCTAGGACCAATATTTCGCGTCGTTACAAACTTTTGGGGTTGCACAAAGCTATAATCCTGACAACATAGTTGTGTAGGGTATAAAAAACCCGCGTCTCAGTGGCCGAACATATCGCTCGTGACCTGAACATATCGCAATATTCCATGCGATAAATATTAAAAAATGAACTCGGGGTAAAGCCATTGAAATTTCAAAAAGAGCAAGAACTTACACCGCAACTGAAGGAAAATAGACAATAGAGTGGTGAACTGCCGAATTTACTTTTCTCCGATGAGAAAACATTTGTTGTCCAGTTGTTTGTAAACAAACTAAAGTGGCCCACACACGTTAAACATGTGCGTTCGATCGGTGTGAATCGAAGCAATGTTTGACGTGTGTGGTACGGTGTTCACACCGATTTGCCGGTGCGCACACCGATCGAAAGAAATTAAAATTTTTTAATTTTTCGTTGTGCGACGCGCACATGTTTGACGTCTGTGGCCTGGTGTGTGGATATTTTCTCATTTGTTGAGAAATTTCGTGGAGTGCGGATCAGCGGACAAATGCAATACATATGTATTTGGAAGATTTTTCGATATTTTTACACATATTCTACTGTGTGCCAAATAAAAATGTTTTTTTCCCGGAATAAAGTAAAAGTATTTAATACATTTATATTAAATAAAAATATTTCATCTTTTTTCCGTCATCACTATCGCGGTCCATCTTCACGCTTCAAAAATAAATATGAAATGAAGTTTAATGGATCCGTTTGACGTGTGTGGGCTAGGAGCTTCACACCGATCGAACGCACATGTTTGAGGTGTGTGGCCTACTTAAATGATCGTGTTTACTTGCCAAAGAGTGCAGCTGAAAATGTGCACCTCCGGTTGGCCACCAGAACTCAAGCGCCGGCCATGGTGATGGTCGCTCTCCGCTCGTAGTAATCGATCGTGGCATCAGAATAAATGCCGAATATTATCGTAAAAATATTCTGGAGTGTGTTTTAAAACCTTGGGCAAGCAAACATTTTGGCCGCAGACCTTGGACATTCTAACAGGACTCAGCCACATCGCACTCAGCACGCGCCACCCAAGAATGGTTACAAAATGAGATTCCTCCCTTCATTTCCAGGGCACAATGGCCACCAAAATCTCCGGATACCAATCCGTTGGACTATTGTGTCTGGCAAGGTTGGCGTTAAAACAATACCAAAGTGTCGATCACCTCAAGCAAGCGCTTCGCCGGGAATGGGTCAAAATACCGCAGAGCAATATTCGGGCAGCGACGGTTTCATTGTCCGTTTGAAGGCCATAATTCGTGCCAAAGGTGACCAATTCGAACAAATCTAAACTTATTCTAAAATTTGATACTTTTTCTGACATTTTTTGCTTTCGTTCAATAAAATTAAAAAAAAATTATGGCGTTTGACTTTGTTGCAGTTTTTTATCTCATCCTGTACATATATCCAAAACGGTGTAGTGTATCATTTAGTCGGCACTGTACGATTTTTGACCTTTCCTTACTGATTTTAAATGGATTTTTCGGATAATAATTGTTCGCCATTGTTATCCTCATTTGCGTTTATACAATCTTAATTTACTTTCATTCAAAATCATGAACGAAATCCTGATTTAACCCCTTTTTCTTTTCCACATTTCATTTCGTGAACACGCAAAATTTTTGTAACACTATGTCACTCGTATTGTTTTAATAACATTCTTTATTATCGCCTATCTTTATCGCATAATGTTTATTACTTTCGTGCATTTATACGCCATGTTATACCATGTCTGTCTGCTTGTCCGTCTGGAAGTTCATCGTCCAAACTGTCTGATTACCAAAAGATATTGTGATAAATTACAGTAGCCAGGATACATACATAAGTACTCACGTACTTAGTTTTAGTTATTTATATAATGGCATTTTTTGTTTAGCTATTTATTCGTTGATTGACATAAGCAAAACCAATGTGATATGACGAATATAATTCACATATATATATATATATATATATATATATAAACGAACGATATTAAACTTTATTATCGGAACCAGTAATTGTTGTCAGATTTATATACAGCATTTTTTCCCATATCTCAAAGTCTGGAGATAAAATACAAGGGTTAGATAAGCAGGTGTTCTGTTATCAGTAGTGTACTTTTTTGTGTGTTTTTGTTTATTATCTATAGATGGGGAGAGATTTACTAGGTTAATAAATCAGCACGTTGTAGATATTTATATAGGAATTAGAGGTAAATTCAAGCTAGAGTTATGATTTCAAAAAAAATCTATTTTACGCAATAATGTTGAGAGAGTATTTATTCGCTCTAGACATTTAGTATACCAATCATCATATCTCTAGTAATGCTCACGAATGTAAATATGTACATACGATCAAAAGAGTTTAGATTTATCACTCTAAAGGTCACTAAAATGACCAGAAGTGGGAGCAATGTGTCATTTTGAACACTTTGTGGCCTCTCTATAAATGTCCCGACATATTTTCGTTATATTGAAGGTTCCATACGGGGTTCCATACGAAGTAAATGGTAATTCATTTTCTCAGGCGGAAAAACTCCGGGCACACATATAAGTTTCCCGATCGATTTTAACTATTTTGAACGCTCTACTTTGAAGGGTTCCGCCAGAACTTAACGACCTTTTGTATTTATTTTTACTTAGATTCGTCCAATTTGACACATTTCAAAGATTTTAGATGTTTTAAATATTTTTCGCATTGTATATTTTTACATAAATTCAATTCCTTTCCAAAATGTACTCCCTTTACAAAGTATTTGTTAATAACCACCCAAATGATATGGATCAATATTATTCACGTGTTTTCCCTGGCATTGCTCGTATGTACATATTTACATTATGTATTGTGGGTTGATATTTTTCCTTATTGTTCCGAATGACTACGATATGACTAATTATAATTGCATTGTTTGTAGTTGGCGTTGGTTGACATTATCCATTTGCTAATGTTAATATAATTACGCCCCTTTTAAACAAACCTCTTACATGTATGTACAAACAAAATATAAAGGTGGGTCGACAAAACTATTAAAAGTTACAAGTGGGTCTCATATAACGTTAAAGTCCCATTTTTTAAGTTAAACCGAATAATCCAATCGAAGTGACTGTAATTCGGGCCCTTTGAAAGTAAATTCTCATGTTTCGACGTATTCTCCTTAAACAGTCTTTTCCCATTTCCTTGCTGAATTTTCTGACCAATGTTTCTATCATTAGCAATTTCGGGTTTTCAGAAGATAAAATACCTTCTGGAAGCAAATTTCAATATAGGTCCATTTTCTGACATAGTAACCAACCTGACCGCATTTTCAAATCTACGTTTACGTAATTTAATATTTATGTTTCTTAAAGTATTTTGAAGGTCCTTCCACAATTTACAATCAAAGTAACTACAATTTGGTATTTAGGTTTCTACAATGAAAAAACCCCTCGCAGAAAAATTTTATTATAATTCTTAGGTCCTCCCAAATGTGGAACTATGACACATAGTAGCTTCAATATAATGTTATATAATGAAAATTTTGCTAATGTTTTTGAGCCCCTGTGATGAAAGGTATTTAAATATCTATTGGACTTCAATGCGAAAATATAACGGTCTTATGTGAGATAACTGTTTGGGTATTCTATACGACAATCTATTGAACTTCTGTGAAAATATATATTAGACTTAGAGTAGCTATCGATATTCAATAAGAAGACTTATTATTCACTTACCAAAAGACCTATTGGGATTTTAATGAGAAACACTGGAGAAAATGCCTAATACACAGAAAAACATTTTTAATGAATATTTTCAAAATTTCATTTAAATTTACTTTTTCCATATTAAAAAAATGCACCTCGCTTTGAATATAAGTGAAAATCCTTATAATCGCGATAAACCCATTATTTTTTCCAAAAGTTTAATCATTTCATTAATATCACAAATATTTTCCTACTTCCGTCTACTACTCTACATTTTCCTCTCTCTCTCACACACACACACAACCACCATTCATTGTGCGGCTAGGTTTTGTTTTGGTATCTTTCTCCATTATTTTTGTAACCGTGTATCTGACCACTGTTTCTGTTGCTAACAACCGCCGACATTCCACTCACACGCTTGTGACTAGTTTGCATTCCATTGCTTCTATATTTCAGACGCTTTTACCCACTTCTGTGTTACAAAATTCGCGTATGTATTTTCCAAATTATGTCGATATAAATAATAAATACATCTAGTAAACAAGTGTTGATACGAAAAACAAGCCCAACCGACTGTTTAAATTGGTCTAATGATGCAAAACACGACAATGTAAGTAAATAAGAAGAAAGGAAAAAAATGAAAATGGAAAAATTAAAACAATACAGAATGCAGAAATCCCGAAATTGCCGACACTTTCTGAACACTATTCATAATATAATATACGAATTATTTTGTTCTGGGCATAACAAGACCTAATAAGAAATCTTAGTGGCCTTTTATTAAAATACGTATTGAACTTCTTTTTCACACTGCGCCAAATTCTCCAAAGGACCCCTGAAAACACACATCGTCACATTCCACCTTTTTGTCGACTACAAAGCCGCATTCCACAGCCCAAACCGCTCAGAGGTGTTTAAAGCCATGTCTGTGTTCGGCATTCCTACGAAATTAATACGACTAGAAGATAATTTTAACTGGCACAAGTTTCACCAGTAAAGTCGGAAAGGAGCTCTCGGAGCCCTTCAATACCGACTGAAGATTCAGACAAGGTGACAGTTTGTCGTATGAACTTTTTAATATCCTGCTGGAATAGGCTATACGAGATGCAAATGTCAACAGAAATTACACTCTGTACACCAAACAAAATATGTCGACATAATGGGTCAACCATTGAGAGCGGTAACGGCCACCATTGAACAAAATGGGACGGAATTTGCCAAAGTGGGTCTGGCAGTAAATGGCGAGAAGGCCTTAAAAACTACAGCTTCGAGACAGTGAATGGTTTTATATACCTATACAAATCTAATAACATCAGCTTTGAAATCTGGAGAAGAATAATTTTGACCAATGTATGCTACTATGGTCTGAGTAAGCAATTCAAAAGCAAGGCCACCTCTCGCCAGACCAAATTCACACTCTACAAGACGATGATGCTACCCGAGCTGTTGTATGATTCTGAAGTATGGGTACTTGCGAAAGCGGATGGGGCGGCTCTTGGAATTGTTGAGAGAAAAATTCTCTAGATGGGCCGATCTGCTTCGAGGTAAATATCGCCGTCGAACGAACCATAAACTTTAGCAACTATTCTCGGACAATGACATAGTCAGACGGATCGGACTGCCGCGACTACGTTGGCTTGGTCTTGTTGTGAGAATGGATGAAGATGCCCCAGCATAGAAAGCGTATAAAAGCGAGCCAAGTGATGTTTCACGCAGAAGGGGAAGGCCACGAATCCGAAGGAAAGATCAAGTGGAAGACAACATCTCGAACATGGTATTTCAAATGAGCTGCACACAAGACCGACGCGTCTGGAAATCTTTTTTAAGCTCGGCTTATGGAACAAACGCTCTGTCACAAGCCAGCGATGTATGTATTGTATAGTGCTTTATCATCGTACAAAGATTTAAGTTTGCCGATGCACTATTATCGAAAGTTGTGAAAAATCATCGAACAATGTTAATTTCATTTTGGAAAAAAAAATCTGTTGAAGTCTCTTTGCAAAACACAACACATGATCGTACGTCTTACAAAATTGGGTGGTGCAGGCAGAATTTTAGAGTTGGTTTTTTCTCTTCCGATGTACCTAATATAAAAAATTGTTTTCCACACAATAAATATTATTTTATAATTTTTGTAAATAATATTCGACCCCCTCTAATTCTTTCATATGTCATAATATTTTCAGATCAAAATATTCATCAGCTGGGAATTACTGACTGGTTGGTGGGGGAATGCAGTAACGCCCGGCACTCTTGATAAAAAATGCTGACGGCACGTAAACGATAGCGTCTAAAAGGTAAGTATGCGTATATGTGACAACATTTCATCAACATCACCACCTCCCATCGACGTTATTATTATTAAATACGACTGCCTTAAAGTTATTCTACATTTACGACACAAGTCAATATTTGTTTGAAACTTTAACAATTGTCAAGATAAAAAACAAAACAACGTGGAGTGACTTCAAGCAATGTGGGCCTCAGTACTTAGTGTATTTCAATACCCTACAGAATCGACTGAGAAATAAAGGTAAACATGATCGAGGTCTTAAGCAACAGATTTTAGTTTTCGAAGGTTTTTTCCGAAAAAAAAATGTTTATAAAGCTATCACATACTATCCCTTCCTCTTTTTATAGCTCTTCTGCATAGGTTTTGTCCGATTTAATCCTCACATCCCAGACAATATATTTCTCT